ATGCCTGTATTTAGACCTCTATAAATACCCTTTGTCTCCTAGTTCTTTCCTTTATTTCCTTTTACTTTCCTCTTATTCCACTATCATGCTCAGCCTTAATTTGGATTTCAGTAATTTCTCTCGGTTACATTGTCCTTACCAGGCCTCTCACATGCTCCTTGCCACTAATTTTGGATCACTTGTTACTCCCTTGTCCCTGGGTTGGTCAACACCACCTCCTTACCCCCACCTCCCCCTCTCCCATGTCCCCCTGGAACCATCAGTCCCGTTGTTTTCTCTTCCAGACTGTTCATCCAGCCTATCTTATCTAGATAGGTCTGCATAGATAATAATATGCACCCAAAAAACAAAGCATAGCAAGACAAAGCGACAAAGGAGAACACAACGATGACAACAAAAAAGAAAACCAATGATCCATAAAAGAATAAATTAATTTTTTAAAAATTTTAATTTAAAAAAGAAAAATCTGTTCATAGATCAAGGTCTGACTTTCGACCTCTAGGCATGTCCTCCAGTCAAATCCGATGGGGTGCCATGCTCTGGCCCCTGAGTCTATCATTTGCTCCCAGCTCTGCTCCCCCGTTGCTCTGCCGCATGCCTTTAGTGTTTGCCTCAGTGTTGCAGGGTCAGTCCAGGCCAATCCCGACACTGAGTCTCCAGTGTTGTCCCCATAGGGTCATGGGTCAGTGAGGGATGTCGTGTCTCATAGTGGGGTCAGCCATATGGTCCACTCTTTGCATTGGCTGTTTGGAGTGGGGTATTGTCCTCCAGACCTGGTGGGCCAGGATGTGCTCCACACTCTCTTCCTCCCCATTCATTTGCTCCCGTGTACTCTGATCAGACATGTCCCTCTCCCTGAGCTGCAGATTCAGTGCTGTCTGCTGAAATAAATTTTTCTGGGGGATCAGAGTCTTTTCTGACATCCACTTTGATCTTTTCTTTCTTTCCAGTCTTTTGAATTGACGTTAGCTTTCTTCATGAATGATGTTCTTAATGTCCTCCCACAGCTCATCAGGTCTCTGTCATAGTGTTCAATACATCAAATCTGTTCTTGAAAT